CATTGGCCTAGCTCCCTTAACACAGACTTCACCGCTACCCAACACAACCTATTATTCAACCCATGCACTTTCCAAGGACAAATTTTCAGTCTCATTGTAATAAAAGTTGACCACCACGACCCTTATGACCCCTTCCCCTCACCCCTTCCTTAGGTACACTCATAATTAATTGAGCATTCAAGATTACAAAGTTCCCGTACCCTCTTCCTCTGCTTTGTCACCTCCTCCACACCCACCCTAACCGGCATCTTGCTCCGCCACAATGCCTCAGTCGCCACAAACAATTGAAATGCTTCCTTCTTAGGACCCTCAAAAGAAACCCCCAAACACGACTCACCTCATTAATCTAACCCAATACCCTCATACACCTCCTCTGAAGACAATACACCCCTTCCCTAGAAATAGGGGTGTCAATGAGTTGAGCCGAGCCGAGCCGAGCCAAGTTTTACAATATTCAAGCTCGGCTCGGTTAATTTTAGAATTGTTCAAGCTCGGCTGGAGCTTAAGTTGAGCTAAACCAACTAAGCTTGAGCTCAACTCATTAAATTTTTAATGAACTCAAGCCGAGCTCAAGCTGGCTCAAGTAACTCAAATTTTTTGAAATTGTACTTAAAACTGAAGCTTTTGTGGCTTAGTTTTGTAGCTACAGTGAGCTGCAACCTGACCCTACAGTTTTATAGGTGTCTCAGTGTCTATTTCATTTACTAGGGACCGATGTGGGACTAGTGAAGGCAGAGCAAGAGCTGCCTTTCTTCTCCTAACCCTCTTGCTACTCTCTCTACAACTTAGTATCACAAACCCATTGATGCAGGATCTTTAAACTTTCAACACCAAAATAGGGTTAAATAAAGTGAGAAGGTAGGTTGAATGTTTATGGGAGGTTTAGGACTGAATGGGACTAGGTTTTGGTGTTCTAAGGTAGAGTTTGGAAAGTTTAAAATTGAGTTTAGAGACGGCACAAGTAAGCTGGATTTTAAGCAAAGAAATGTAGTAGAAAAAAATAGTAGATAAAACAAAGAAAACTAGGCAATCACACTTAGGTTCTTGGGCAATCACACCCAAGGGTTAGGGTTGCATCACACAAACCCAAAGAAAGATGTATCACACATCTTTACATATAGCAAAGCTTTCTTTTTTCGTTCATGTTGTCCTCAATGCATTGTGAGCTTATATATTTATAGACACCTCAATATAATAGAAGACAAATACAAAATTCAAAGTAAAAGATACATATTAATGAGATTTTCAAAGTAAAGATATGCTTGGACTTTATTGGTGGGTGGTGGCTAAATTTAAAACATTAACTTGCTAAAAATTGGACTTTATTGGTGGCTAAACTTTCAGCATTATCATGCTGAAAATGGCTGTCTTTTGACATCATTATTAGGCTAATTCTAGGGTAGAAGCTTGCCAAATAATAATATTAAACTTTCAACATTATCACGCTGAAAACTGGTTGTCTTTCCTTCTTCTTTTGTAATATTTTTTTTTGGTTATATTTTCTAGCCATCTTTTCTGCATCACCTATAACCAATTTAAGTATTTTTTTTTTTATGTCCTTCTTTGTTTTTCTTGTTTTTCTACAGCTTTTTTGTCTTTTTTACAGTTTGCATTTGGGTTATAGCTACTTTTGGTTATTCTTTTTATTAATAGTATTAAGTTGGTTAGTGATTTCATTTTTGGGATTTATTTAAGTGATTTGGAATGTGGGTTTTGTTGATTAGCATATGTTATTTGAGGCTTAATAAATAGAGAGAGAAAAAATTGACACATTATATATAATCATTATTTGGGTTAAGTTAAGCCTTATTTATTTACCAACCAAAAAAGTTCTAAAGTCTTCTTGTGAACTAATGGACAACATATGCAAAGTAGAAGTTTCTTAATTTTTGAAGTGCACTGGCTTTTTTAGTCCCACATTGGTAGGGAAGTAGTGCATGATGTTTCCCTCCATTTATAAGATTGTATGCTAGTGCTGGTGATTGATCCACAATGGGTTTCCATCCCACATCGGTAAAGAAAAGATGATTGAGACATGCCTCTCTTTATAAAAATTCAAGTTAAAAATTGAATAAAATATATGAGATTCATGTGTAATATAGTATTATAAATATACATATATGTAAAATAAAATAAAATATTAATATTGTTTCAGCTAGCGAGCCGAGCTTTAGTCTTATTGGACTAGGCTCGTTTGGTAAACGAGCTTGGGATTGGAGCTCAAGTCTGTTCATTAACTAAATGAATCAAGCTTAAACTTGTCTTTAACAAGCTGAGCTCGAGTTGTTAATGAACAGCTCGATTCATTTGTAGCCCTACTTGGAAACCCTTCTTCTCCACACCCGACCCTCCCTGACCCTCTAACACCGCAAGTGGTCTAGCCAATAAAGCTTGACCTGGACTCAGATGGTTGGAGATAAGAGAGAGCCATGGTTTTGAAACACATCTGAATTGGCAGAGAGATTTGACAGGGAGCCTCAAGAGTACCTCGACGATGATCTCATCGGGAAAGTTCGGCATCGCAGTCTCAAGAGTACGTTGACGGTGGGGACATATTTTAGAGTAATGTATAAATAAATTTTCAAGTTATCAAAAGCTTACATGTATTCATTGGCAAGCCAAAAAACAATTGATACATTTTTTAAGGTAGTGTTTGGATTATGGATTTGAAAAAATAAAAAAATAAACAATAAAAAGAGAAAAGGTGGTTGACATGTTTCCTTTTCCTTTCCAAATCCATAATTCAAATACAATGTAAGGCAATGAGTGTTGATTTCAACATCTGATATGCCTGAAGTTGAACTTTAATATTGAGACTTCCATTCTTGATCAACATGCTTCCAAAATTTCGTGTCACAAGTTGAATGTGAAGTTGTGCCCTAAAATGTGATCTACGAATACACCCTAACTACAAAATCCTACACGTGCCCTTTTAAATGCAAAATGTTTTTGAGTAGTATATTCATAATACGACTTCAACTTTGAAGTTGTATTTTCAAAACAAAATTTCAAAATTTATTGTAAAAGCTTTCAAAACAACATGAGTTTAGTAAATAAATATAACTTATTTGAGATTGAATGAAAAGTATGATCAAATTGGAAATATGATTTAAAATCACATTTATTTTGCAAAAAATATCCAAATATGCCATGTGCTACCGGTTGGGGTGGTGGCGGTGATGGGCAATGGTGTTGATGGCGATAGTGGTGATGGTGTGGTAGCGGTGGTGGTGGTAGTGGTGATGATGGTAGGATGGTGGTAGTATAGTGCCTTTGGTAAGACTTCAATCAGGGAAACGTTTTTCATCTTTCAAAAGTAGAAAACATGTTATTTCTAAATGAGTTTGTCTTCTGCTATACCAGACAATGCAGAAAATATTTTTTGCCGAAACAAATAGAGAGAATGTCTAAGTTGGATTTCCTGCACTTTTTCTTTGTTCATTTTTGTAGACTCCATGCCCGCATGATTTTTTTCCTTTAATACATCAAACATTAATTGTGTTCCTAGTTTATTCATGTTTTCCCCATGAGATATCTCTTGAAGTTGAGGATTCAAATGATAGTAGCAGTTTTAGCAAGAGCTTCGTATACTCAGTCACAGAAGAATAAATTGATTGTCAGTGTATTTTGTTGGTTGAACTTTGGGATTGATTGATCAAATGGTTTAACTGTTTTCTTCTAGTGAATTTGTGCTTGTGATGATGGATCATTGTGAATAAGAACTAGTAGAAATTGCACGACTTTTTTTTCATCTAACCATTCCTATTTAGTTTAACACTTCCTATCTTTGGTCATCAATTGCTTTCCTTCCATTGCTTGCAGTTTGTTTGGATGGGGTGATTTGGTAGGAAATTATTAGAAACGAAAAGAAAGAGATTTCTTTCTTATGTTTAGTTTATAAATTTGATAAGAAATTATGAGAAAGAGGACTCTTAGTTTGTGTATTTGATTACTTGCTAAAAGTGATAGATTTTGATAAAAAAACAAACTAATTGGTTATATTCTTCTCTCACTTCTTGTACTTTCTTATCCATTAAAATATGATATTGAGAAAATACAATTTTTTATTTTCTTTTCTCATTAAAATGAGAAATTATAATCAATTCCCATTTTTTTTCACCGATTATACCAATTGGGTTAAGTGTTTCAGCATTTACATGTTTTTTTTGTCATTTTCTTTTGCAGTCAGAACACTTGTTACCAAAATTTTTGACAAAATTTGAGAAACTAAAAAGTATTTGAATAAAGGTTAAATTTCTTAAAATATATTAAAAAAATTAGAATTGCCTCCAATTTAAGAATTATGAAAAATTGTGAAGAACTATATTTCGAAAAGCAAGGTATAATATAGATTCAATTATTGAACAACCTACCGTTGAAACAATCACAACTTAAATACTGTACTTTTTGAGCGTTTCAATTAGACAGTGGTATTGGGTTGTTGTTAGTGAGATAAAATTCTTAAATTGTTCAAATTATAATTTTTTTTTGGTATTTTGGAAAGATGGTAAAAAATAAACTTTTTAACTTTTTCGGTTTTTTTTTTTTTTGACTTTTTATGTAAAAAAATAAAGAGGTGATGTAACTCAAAAAAATCAAAAAGCTAAAAAAAATTAAAATGCCAATATTTCCAATTTGCCCCTTTATTTGTGCAAAAATAATAAATCGATTAATACTCCTAATCAATTGCTAATGAGATCATCTAAAATTCTTAATTTTTTTATTAAATTTAGATGTAATAAAAAAGTACTAAAAAACTATCTCTAATTTATTTATCAAATCAATGGATAGACTTTTTTTTTTTATCAAATTAAAATTTAGAAATATCTTTTTATTAAATTTGATGAAAAGGAAAATTTAAAATAAGGTGAGAATTTTTAAAACATTTTAATAAAAAATTAGTGAAAAAATCAGAATAATTCATATCAAGTTAATTATTTTTTATATTTAAATTTAAAATTAAATTAGATAAAATTTACTTAAAAACAAATAAAATAAAAAATAATGAAGGACATCATCATCCTTGTGATGGCGGTGAACTCTGAAGCTAGCGGCTGTAATGCCGAACCGTCCCGAAGTGATCATCGTCCTCTCTCAACTGTTTCGAAATCTTGCGATTTCTACTTCGTAGATCTCGATTTGTTCCAATTCCGCGAAGATTTCGTGGCAGTCCATCTGAAATAGGCAAGGCCAAGCACCACATCAAAGATTACTACTAGGTAGGTAAACTGTTGAATGATTGAATTAAACCGTCTTTTTGTCATTTCTTTTTACTTCTATCTATGTTGGTGCATGATTGTCTGTTTATGCTTGATGTTAAGTAGAACAGTATGAGTTTAATTTTTTTCATGTTTTTATGGATTTTGTTTATATATTTTGAAGATAGCATTTTGGGTTAAATGCGTTCAAGTGGCTAGGGTTAAATTTGCAAGGTAGGTGTGATTGTCTTCAATTCTCAACAAAATAAGGTAGAATTGACACAATTTAGGGCCAAACCAAACTAAGTGTTGTGTTTATGCCAATTAAGTGGAGTCGGCTACGTGAACCCTTTTTTTAGATGGTGATTTTATTGCTCGTTTTTTGTCCAATTGTTAATGAATCTTTCAACCACATGATGTAGTCTGTTTGGTAGAACTTGGGTCTCTAAAACCCGATGTCATAGTTGGTTTGATTTTGAAGATGTTTGAAGATAATATTTTCATTTTCTTGGTCTTTCTTTCCAACACCAAATAATATGTATACATATCCTATGTGGTTCGGTTTGTTTAGGATATGATGCTTTAAAGGCCTTTGAAAGCAATAACATTGTGGCAAAGACACCACACCAATATTTTTTTTTTGGAAAATTTTCTTGAAATGATGTGGTTTATCACAATAAATGGCAAATCAAATTTGCTACCCTCTTAAAAACATAGCAAAGTTATAATCTCAAGGGGTTGGCCTAGTGGCAAGGCTTTGGGTTTTGGGGGTGTGCTCCCTCCAAAGTTCAAGGATCAAAATCTCTTGGGTGCTAGCAATTCCTTGGGGCTATCGGACTGGGGAAAATCCTTGAATTAACCATGGTGTACTTGCAGAAACTCATTGCCGAGGGCCTGTGCACCCCTGGGGATTAGTTGGGCTTTACTCCGGACCCTCCGGTGCCAATCAAAAAAAAAAAAAAAAAAAGTTTGACCTTGTAAATGATTTTCATCTTACATCTTTGGGGGCAGAAAATTCCCGTTTGGCTTTTCATTGTGTAATATGAAGCTTAGATATGAATTTGTAAATTGAGTTTCATCTTAGATCTTTCTGGCAAAAAATTCCTATTTGGCTTTTCATTGTGTGTAATATGATGCATCACCTGTTGCAGGCTAACCATGCCCTTTTGGATGATTTCATATCTGGATCCATTACATTTTTATGATAATTGGAAGTTAGTAATAAGTTTGCTATTTTGATTGGATTGTCAAATCTCATATTTATAAATAAAGTAGCACGTGGCATATTTGGATATTTTTTACAAAATAAATGTGATTTTAAATCATATTTCCAATTTGATCATATTTTCCATTCAATCTCAAATAAGTTATATTTATTTACTAAACTCATGTTGTTTTGAAAGATTTTACAATAAATTTTGAAATTTTGTTTTGAAAATACAACTTCAAAGCTGAAGTTGTATTATGAATATACTACTCAAAAACACTTTGCATTTAAAAGGGCACGTGTAGGATTTTGTAGTTAGGGTGTATTCATGGATCACATTTTAGGGCACAACTTCACATTCAACATGTGACACGAAATTTTGGAAGCATGTTGATCAAGAATGGAAGTCTCAATATTAAAGTTCAACTTTAGGCATATCAGATGTTAAAATCAACACTCATTCCCTTAGATTGTATTTGAATCATGAATTTGGAAAGGAAAAGGAAACATGTCAACAACCTTTTCTCTTTTTATTTTTTATTTTTTTTATTTTTTCAAATCCATAATCCAAACACTACCTTAAAAAATGTATCAATTGTTTTTTGGCTTGCCAATGAATACATGCAAGCTTTTGATAACTTGAAAATTTATTTATACATACTCTTGAGACTGCGATGCCGAACTTTCCTGATGAGATCATCGTCGAGGTACTCTTCAGGCTCCCTGTCAAATCTCTCTGCCAATTCAGGTGTGTTTCGAAACCATGGCTCTCGCTTATCTCCGACCATCATTTCATCAAAACCCACCTCAATCGCAACACCAACGAACCCGAACAACTCATTCTCATTTTGAATTTTTTTGATTTCTATTATGTGGATCTGAAATCATTTAAATTCCGTGACGATTTTGTGGCAGTCCACCTGAGCAAAACCCTAATCGTTGCGTTGATATTTGGGGTTCATGTAATGGCTTGTTGTTGATGCTCGATATTTGTTTCTCTTGCATTTTGGTGAATCCATCTACTAGACAATCTTGGAAATTGCCCAAATCATCTTTTTCTAAGTCTAAATTTCATTTGAATAGTTATGGGCTTGGTCATGACTCATCTAATGATGACTACAAAGTTGTGAGAATTTCTAATCATGACTAAGATGCTAATTGTGCTGATAACATGGTCAGTGTGTATACCCTAAGGACGAATTTGTGGGGAAGGATTGAGGATTCTCCTTATGACCATACAGTTCATGGACCTCCACGAGGGATTCTTGTTAGAGGGGCTCTCCACTGGTTAGCTCGTAAAGGTGTGGGTTCGAATAAATCCACTGTAATTGTTTCATTTGATTTAGCAGATGAAAATTTTCGAGATATGCCATCTCCAGATTCTGTTGACAACTTTATCCTAGTTGAAGAGCTTGGTGTTCTTGGAGGGTGCCTTTGTGTGCTTGTTCCTGGCTATGGTGTTTATAATGATGTTTGGGTGATGAAGGAGTATGACATGAGGGATTCTTGGATCAAATTTACAATCAATTGTAATAATTTTTGTAAACCATTGTGTTTATCAACGACTGGTGAAGTTTTGTTGGAGGTTAGTCAAAGAAAGTTGGTCCTCTTCAATCCACAAGAGAGAAAATCTAAGGAACTTGTGGTTCAAGGCAGTCCATATCTTTTTGAAGCAGGAACTTACATGGAGAGCCTTGTTTCACCCAATTTCAGCAATATTAACGATCATGAGGGATCAAGGTTGGTACTGGATAGGTAACATGGATTGGGTTAATTTAGTTTTTCCCCATTCCATTTTAGTTCTGTCTGTCTATGTTATTGCATCACTTTCTCTTTTTCCTTAATCTTATTAGAATGGTGTGAGTTTAATTTGTCATGTTGTTTGGAGAAAACAAATGTCCTTGATGTTAGTATGGAGTTTCTCTTCGATGATCACAGACAGAGGTTTAAGGCCTTTCCAGTATTTCTTGGCAGTGGTGATGTTTAGTTTGATTATATGGATGATTGAACTAAACCATTTTTTGTCATTCCATTGCACTTCTATCTGTCTATTTTGCTGCATAGTTGTTTCTTTTTCCTTGATGGTATATAGAACAGTGTCAGTGTGAGTTCAATTTACTGTGTTTTATGGAGTTTGCTTGTATGTTTTGAATAAAGAATTTTGGCTTAAATGGGTTCAAGTGATTGGGTCAGATTCACTAGGTAGGTGTGATTGTCTTTGATTCTCAGACAGGGAGAGACAACCACATATACAAAATAAGGTAGAATTTACACAATTCATGGCAAAAGCCAAACTAAGTCTTGTGTACCAATTAAGTGGAGTCGGTTACATGTTTTGTTCTTTGATTTTGACCAACTGCAAATGAATCTGTGATCCACATGATTTAGTTGGTTAGATTTTGAAGGTAATTGAGGTTATCATCTTCTCTTTGTTGGTCTTTCTTTACATCTCATAATTTTCTTTCCAACACCATTATATATATAAAATATCATATATGGTTCAGTTGGTCAGGATATGATGCTTTAAAGGTGTTTGAAAACAATAAAAATGTGGCAAAGACACGTTACATCGATGTTTTAGGAAAGTTTCCCTGAGGTAATTTTTTCATAAAAAAAGCATTTTTTTTTTTTGTTTCTTGAAATTTATTGCAAATTACAGAGGCACAAGGACTTGCATGATACTTTTAACATGTTACTCTAAGGTGAACACATGGAGGGCCTCTCTTTCTTAGGTCCTTCAACTATATGAGCCTGTATTGGAGTGACCGATGGTCTTCAGTGAGTGCATTTGGCTGTCTCTTTTTCTTATTTTTCATAATATCTTAGCTCTTCTATTTTTGTCCCTCTGCTGCCTTGTTTATGTTTTGTATTTTTTATGCAAAGTTGTGAATATTTTTATGCATTGTTGAATAAAAATCATTCCTTACATTTTGCCATTATTTCATTTGCTCTTTCCTTTATATTTCTGCTTATACATTTGTTGAAATGAAGTGATCATAGTGGTACATGCAAGCAAGCATAACTAACACATATATCTGCAAATTTACTTAAATCATTTTGAAAGCTCCTTTTCCATTTTGTTTCCTGAATGGAAGTGTTTCTTTTACTAAACAATATTCCTATTAGGGTTCGCCAAGCACGGCCTCAAGCATGTGATGATTCCAAGACTGAAGCTGATTCGTCGATGCCAAAGACATTTAGGTTGGATAAGTCATCCAATCCCCCGAGTCCTCGCTTCTGCCCGTTTGATTGAAGAATCAGCTCTATAAGGCCTTGATAATGTTCAAGGATCTTTACTGGAAGCAAGAATTTATCAAGATGCCTATGGATAGTTAAGGATATTCAGTGATAGTTAAGGAGGTGAAGTGTAGCTAACCCACAAATTTTTAAGCAAAGCAAAGTGGCAGAGGTGGGAGGGTAGTTAAGTGAGAATTGTCTATTGTATTTATTCGAGTGAGCCAGATTGGAAAGGGTGATGCACTTTTTTGATTTTCATTTGCTATCAACAGAAGAGCAGCATATTGTTGTTACTTTTTTTTTTTTAAATTCATTTTTGGATGAGTAGCATTTGGTGGGACGTAAGGCTTGGTTTGGTTTGGTTAGCATTTGGTTGTTATATATTGTTAGTGCTCTTGGTGGCTTTTCGTTTCAACTAGCGCTGATGTTGGGCATTTCAATTGACATTTATATTCAAATTTTCTAGCTTTTCTTTTCTTTTATTTTCTTTTCCTTTTCCCTTTCTTTTTGGTCCAGTGGAATTGGCTGAGTGTTGCTGCTGATTGTTCTTTTTCATGTAGTTTCTTCTTGAGAATTTCTTCAGTTGGTTTTGCAGATCACATATAATTTGGACCCCCAGTGAGAATATATCCAGAGTATCGTATCTGTTGTTCACTCTCATTTTTCTTCCAAGCATATTACTGTGTCACGTTTTAATTTGTTATATAGATTGGATGTGTGAAAAAATTTAATTTTAAAAACTATTATTAGATGTACTGATGGATTTCTTTGTGTTCCAATTGTGTTATCTTTCTAGGGCAGATTTTGTGGCATGAGGCAGTGGTGTTTGGAACAGAACAACTTCAGTTTCAGGAATCAACCATTTAGTCGTTCAACGATGGCTTGTGGAGAAGAGAGAGAGAATGAAAGACATTAAAATAAACAAAAACTTTGTGGTTTGCAGCTGAATTTGGCATAAACCTATTTTATTATCTTTGTTTGGAGTTTTGAACCTAATGTTGCTTTTCTTTGTGTGGATCTGTTAAATGTTCTAGATGTTTGATCACCCAATTTGGAAACTATTTATGTGGATGAAGACTTTACTTTTAGACTGTTTCAGACCTTCAATTACCTAATGCTTTGTTTGTTTTAGCGAAAACATTTCTTATGGAAATTTTTTATTTTTCTTTTCGGAAAATGTGTTCTAATGCTTGGTTGTGGCTTTGAAATTAATGTGCAACCGGTTGTGGTGGTGGCGGTGGTGATGGGCAATGGTGTTGATGGTGATAGTGGTAATGGTGTGGTAGCGGTGGTGGTGGTAGTGGTGATGATGGTAGGATGGTGATAGTATAGGAATGAGGATCCTCTCCTTGCAGCTTTTGTGCTTGCACCCATCCTTGCAAGCCTTCGGGTCTACTTTTAGGCCCAATTTTGATAATCCGACCGTTCATATTTTATGATTTATTCAGTATATCATACTTGTAAAAAATCAAGTTCATCGGATATCAGAAAGTATGTGTTCGAAAAATTGAACTAAAAACTATTTTTTAAAGATTTTAATAAACAGTTTTTCGAACATATGCTTTCTGATATTCGATCAACTTGATTTTTTACAGGTATGATATACTGAATAAATCATAAAATATGAATGGTTCGGATTATTAAAATTAGACCTAAAAGTAGACCCGAAAGCCTGCAAGGACGAGCGCAAGTACAAGACTGCAAGGAGAGAACCTTGGCTCGATAGTATAGTGCCTTTGGTAAGACTTCAATCTGGGAAAACGTTTTTCATCTTTCAAAAGTAGAAAACATGTTATTTCCAAATGAGTTTGTTTTCCGCTATACTAGACAATGCAGAAAATATTTTTTGCCGAAACAAAAAGAGAGAATGTCTGAGTTGGGTTTCCTGCACTTTTTCTTTGTTCATTTTTGTATACTCCATGCCTGCATGATTTTTTTCCTTTAATACATCAAACATTAATTGCGTTCCTAGTTTATTCATGTTTTCCCCATGAGATATCTCTTGAAGTTGAGGATTCAAATGATAGTAGCAGTTTTAGCAAGAGCTTCGTACACTCAGTCACTGAAGAATAAATTGATTGTCAGTGTATTTTGTTGGTTGAACTTTGGGATTGATTGATCAAATGGTGTAACTGTTTTCTTCTAGTGAATTTGTGCTTGTGATGATGGATCATTGTGAATAAGAACTAGTAGAAATTACATGACTTTTTTTCATCTAACCATTCTTATTCAGTTTACAACTTCCTATCTTTGGTCATCAATTGCTTTCCTTCCACTGCTTGTAGTCTGTTTGGATGGGGTGATTTGGTAGGAAATTATTAGAAACAAAAAGAAAGAGATTTCTTCCTTATGTTTAGTTTATAAATTTGATAAGAAATTATGAGAAAGAGGACTCTTAGTTTGTATATTTGATTTCTTGCTAAAAGTGATAGATTTTGATAAAAAAAAAAAAAAAAAAAAACTAACTAATTGGTTATATTCTTCTCTCACTTCTTGTACTTTCTTATCCAACAAAATATGATATTGAGAAAATACAATTTTTTATTTTCTTTTCTCATTACAATGAGAAATTATAATCAATTCCCTTTCTTTTTCACCGATTATACTAATTGGGTTAAGTGTTTCAGCATTTATATGTTTTTTTTTTGTCGTTTCCTTTTGCAGTCAGAACACTTGTTACCAAAATTATTGAAAAAATTTGAGAAACAAAAGTATTTGAATAAAGGTTGAATTTGTTAAAATATATTAGAAAAATTAGGCTAGCCTCCAATTTAAGAATTATGAAAAATTGTGAAGAATTATATTTCGAAAAGTAAGGTATAATATAGATTCAATTATTGAACAACCTACCATCCAAACAATCACAACTTAAATATTGTACTTTTTGAGGGTTTCAATTAGGCAGTGGTATTGGGTTATTGTTAGCGAGAGGAAATTCTTAATAAATTTTTTTTAGTGTTTTGGAAAGATAGTAAAAAATAAACTTTTTAACTTTTTCGGTTTTTTTTTTTTTGACTTTTTATGTAAAAAAATAAAGAGGTGATGTAACTCAAAAAAATCAAAAAGCTAAAAAAAATTAAAATGCCAATATTTCCAATTTGCCCCTTTATTTGTGCAAAAATAATAAATCGATTAATACTCCTAATCAATTGCTAATGAGAGCATCTAAAATTCTTAATTTTTTTATTAAACTTAGATGTAATAAAAAAGTACTAAAAAACTATCTCTAATTTATTTATCAAATCAATGGATAGACTTTTTTTTTTATCAAATTAAAAGTTAGAAATATCTTTTTATTAAATTTGATGAAAAGGAAAATTTAAAATAAGATGAGAATTTTTAAAAATATTTTAATAAAAAATTAGTGAAAAAATCAGAATAATTCATATCAAGTTAATTATTTTTTATATTTAAATTTAAAATTAAATTAGATAAAATTTACTTAAAAGCAAATAAAATAAAAAATAATGAAGGACATCACCATCCTTTAATTGGCGGTGAACTCTGAAGCTCGCGGCTGTAATGCCGAACCGTCCCGAAGTGATCATCGTCCTCTCTCAACTGTTTCGAAATCTTGCGATCTCTACTTCGTAGATCTCGATTTGTTCCAATTCCGCGAAGATTTCGTGGCAGTCCATCTGAAATAGGCAAGGCCAAGCACCACATCAAAGATTACTACTAGATAGGTAAACTGTTGAATGATTGAATTAAACCGTCTTTTTGTCATTCCTTTTTACTTCTATCTATGTTGGTGCGTGATTGTCTGTTTATGCTTGATGTTAAGTAGAACAGTATGAGTTTAATTTTTTTCATGTTTTTATGGATTTTGTTTATATATTTTGAAGATAGCATTTTGGGTTAAATGGGTTCAAGTGGCTAGGGTCAAATTTGCAAGGTAGGTGTGATTGTCTTCAATTCTCAACAAAATAAGGTAGAATTGACACAATTTAGGGCCAAACCAAACTAAGTGTTGTGTTTATGCCAATTAAGTGGAGTCGGCTAAATGAACCCTTTTTTTAGATGGTGATTTTATTGCTCTTTTTTTGTCCAATTGTTAATGAATCTTTCAGGCACATGATGTAGTCTGTTTGGTAGATTTTGTGTCTCTAAAACCCAATGTCATAGTTGGTTTGATTTTGAAGATGTTGGAAGATAATGTTTTCATTTTGTTGGTCTTTCTTTCCAACACCAAATAATATGTATACATGTCCTATGCGGTTCAGTTTGTTTAGGATGTGATGCTTTAAAGGCCTCTGAAAACAACAACATTGTGGCAAAGACACCACATCAATATTCTTTTTTTTGAAAATTTTCTTGAAAGGATGTGGTTTATCACAATAAATGGCAAATCAAATTTGCTACCCTCTTAAAAACATAGCAAAGTTATAACCTCAACGGGTTGGCCTAGTGGCAAGGCTTTGGGTTTTGGGGTTGTGCTCCCTCCAAGGTTCAAGGATCGAAATCTCTTGAGTGCTAGCAATTCCTTGGGGCTATCGGACTGGGAAAAAACCCTTGAATTAACCGTGGTGTACTTGCGGAAACTCCTTGCCAAGGGCCTGTGCATCCCTGGGGATTAGTTGAGCTTTACTCCGGGCCCTCCGGTGCAAATCAAAAAAAAAAAAAAACACAGCAAAGTTATCGTATTGAATCTCACACAATAAATGAGTTTTTTTAATTAAATGAAGGGTAAACTGCACCAACCTCCCTTGAGGTTTGGGAAATATAAAGTTATGTAAGGGTGAAGTTTTTTTCCAAACCTTAGGTGTGGTGAGTGTAATTTGCCCTTAAAATAGTGATATTGGTGGATGCATAGATCCATTCAGCATTTCATATCTGGATCCATAACATTTTTATGATAATTGGAAGTTAGTAATAAGTTTGCTATTTTCATTGGACGGTCAAATCTCATATTTACAAATAAAGTAGCACGTGGCATATTTGGATATTTTTTACACAATAAATGTGATTTTAAATCATATTTCCAATTTGATCATACTTTTCATTCAATCTCAAATAAGTTATATTTATTTACTAAACTCATGTTGTTTTGAAAGATTTTACAAAAAATTTTTAAATTTTGTTTTGAAAATACTACTTCAAAGCTGAAGTTGTATTATGATTATACTACAGAAGGTTTTTTTTTTTTTTTTTTTTTTTTTTTTGTAAAAATATAGCAAAAGTTGTACCTCAAAAAAAATCTCACCCTTTAGTAAATATTTGCTCCACTTTCCACTAACTAAAAATAATTACAAATACATGGAATACAACTCTTTTTGTGTAAAATTTTTAAAAAAAAAAAAAAAACATAGCAAAGTTATCGTATTGAATCCCACATAATAAATGAGTTTTTTTAATTAAATGAAGGGTAAACTGCACCAACCTCCCTTTAGGTTTGGGAAATATAAAGTTATGAAAGGGTAAAGTTTTTTCCAAACCTTAGGGGTAGTGAGTGTAATTTGCCCTTAAAATAGTGATATTGGTAGATGCATAGATCCATTCAGTATTTCATATCTGGATCCGTTACATTTTTATGATAATTGGAAGTTAGTAATAAGTTTGATATTTTCATTGGACTGTCAAATCTCATATTTACAAATAAAGTAGCACGTGGCATATTTGGATATTTTTTGCACAATAAATGTGATTTTAAATCATATTTCCAATTTGATCATACTTTTCATTCAATCTCAAATAAGTTATATTGATTTACTAAACTCATGTTGTTTTGAAAGATTTTATAATAAAATTTGAAATTTTGTTTTGAAAATACAACTTCAAAGTTGAAGTCGTATTATGATTATACTACTCAAAAACATTTTGCATTTAAAAGGGCACGTGTAGGATTTTGTAGTTAGGGTGTATTCGTGGATCACATTTTAGGGCACAACTTCACATTCAACTCGTGACACGAAATTTTGGAAGCGTGTTGATCAAGAATGGAAGTCTCAATATTAAAGTTAATCAAAAAAAAAAAAAAAAAAAACCCAACAGAGTTGTCGTATTGAATCTCACACAATAAATGAGTTTTTTTAATTAAATGAAGGGTAAACTGCACCAATCTCCCTTGAGGTTTGGGAAATGTAAAGTTATGTAAGGGTAAAGTTTTTTTCCAAACCTTAGGGGTGGTGAGTGTAATTTGCCCTTAAAATAGTGATATTGGTGGATGCATAGATCCATTCAGTATTTCGTATCTAGATCCATTACATTTTTATGATAATTGGAAGTTAGTAATAAGTTTGCTATTTTCATTGGATGGTCAAATCTCGTATTTACAAATAAAGTAGCACGTGGCATAGTTGGATATTTTTTACACAATAAATGTGATTTTAAATCATATTTCCAATTTGATCATACTTTTCATTCAATCTCAAATAAGTTATATTTATTTACTAAACTCATGTTGTTTTGAAAGATTTTACAAAAAATTTTGAAATTTTGTTTTGAAAATACTACTTCAAAGCTGAAGTTGTATTATGATTGTACTACTCAAAAACATTTTGCATTTAAAAGGGCACGTGTAGGATTTTGTAGTTAGGGTGTATTCGCGGATCACATTTTAGGGCACAACTTCACATTCAACTCGTGACACGAAATTTTGGAAGCATGTTGATCAAGAATGGAAGTCTCAATATTAAAGTTAATCAAAAAAAAAAAAAAAAAACAAAAAAAACACAACAAAGTTATCGTATTGAATCTCACACAATAAATGAGTTTTTTTAATTAAATGAAGGGTAAACTGCACCAACCTCCCTTGAGGTTTGGGAAATATAAAGTTATGTAAGGGTAAAGTTTTTGTCCAAACCTTAGGGGGTGGTGAGTGTAATCTGCCCTTAAAATAGTGATATTGGTGGATGCATAGATCCATTCAATATTTCATATCTGGATCCATTACATTTTTATGATAATTGGAAGTTAGTAATAAGTTTGCTATTTTCATTGGATGGTCAAATCTCATATTTACAAATAAAGTAGCACGTGGCATATTTGGATACTTTTTACACAATAAATGTGATTTAAATCATATTTCCAATTTGATCATACTTTTCATTCAATCTCAAATAAGTTATATTGATTTACTAAACTCATGTTGGTTTGAAAGATTTTACAATAAATTTTGAAATTTTGTTTGACAATACAACTTCAAAGCTGAAGTCGTATTATGAATATACTACTCAAAAACATTTTGCATTTAAAAGGGCACGTGTAGGATTTTGTAGTTAGGGTGTATTCGTGGATCACATTTTAGGGCACAACTTCACATTCAACTCGTGACACGAAATTTTGGAAGCGTGTTGATCAAGAATGGAAGTCTCAATATTAAAGTTAATTGAAAAAAGAAAAAAACACAGCAAAGTTATCGTATTGAATCTCACACAATAAATGAGTTTTTTTAATTAAATGAAGGGAAAATTGCACCAACCTCCCTTGAGGTTTGGGAAATATAAAGTTATGTAAGGGTAAAGTTTTTTTCCAAACCTTAGAGGTGGTGAGTGTAATTTGCCCTTAAAATCATAGTTGTTAAATCGGGATTTTGTGCAGAATTAAACAGACCAAAGTCGCAGCTTGAAGAAATCATAACTTTCCAAATCAGGTTTCATGCAGGAATGGGAACTGACAAATGCTGGAATGGAAGGCAGTTGGCAACATGGACATAGAAACTTTATAGTATGTTAGGCAGTAGGCCTAATCATAGTTGTTAAATCGGGATTCGTATCGTGAATCGAAATGACCTCATACTGAATCGCGAATCGAATCGAATCGTAAATCGTAAAGATTCGGTCATTTTTTCTAAATTACTTAAAACATATATCTACACATTTAGATGTTAAATATATCTTATGAATATAAAATATTTAGATTTAAATTTATGAAAATATTATTTTGAATGATAATTACGTAGTTTAATAGGTAAGAAGGTAACAAAGGTTCCTATGTAAGATCACCATCATACCTTTTTTTCTTTTTTAGATATGTCTTATCAACCATTCTTAATAAAAAATAATAACCAAATAGACAAACTATCAATTTCTAAAGTAATAATAATTAACGATATTGATATTTGAGCAATAAGTATACATACTTTTCTAAGTAACAGTGAGCAAATAATAAGAAAGAATTATTTAGAATCTTTTATTTTAAAACCTAAAACATTTTAAAAGATATAACTAATCTCAGCAATAGATAATTCATAGTTTAACTTTAATTTTAAACATCATTAGAAGATATATTATGATTTTTTAAAGGGAAAAAAATATTTTGCATTTAAAAGGGCACGTGTAGGATTTTGTAGTTAGGGTGTATTCGTGGATCACATTTTAGGGCACAACTTCACATTCAACTCGTGACACGAAATTTTGGAAGCGTGTTGATCAAGAATGGAAGTCTCAATATTAAAGTTAATCGAAAAAAGAAAAAAACACAGCAAAGTTATCGTATTGAATATCACACAATAAATGAGTTTTTTTAATTAAATGAAAGGTAAATTGCACCAACCTCCCTTGAGGTTTGGGAAATATAAAGTTATGTAAGGGTAAAGTTTTTTTCCAAACCTTAGAGGTGGTGAGTGTAATTTGCCCTTAAAATAGTGATATTGGTGAATGCATAGATCCATTCAGTATTTCATATCTAGATCCATTACATTTTTATGATAATTGGAAGTTAGTAATAAGTTTGCTATTTTCATTGGATTGTCAAATCTCATATTTACAAATAAAGTAGCACGTGGCATATTTGGATATTTTTTACAGAATAAATGTGATTTTAAATCGTATTTCCAATTTGATCATACTTTTCATTCAATCTCAAATAAGTTATTTTTATTTACTAAACTCATGTTGTTTTGAAAGATTTTACAAAAAATTTTGAAATTTTGTTTTGAAAATACTACTTCAAAGCTGAAGTCGTATTATGATTATACTACTCAAAAACATTTTGCATTTAAAAGGGCACGTATAGGATTTTGTAGTTAGGGTGTATTCGTGGATCACATTTTAGGGCACAACTTCACATTCAACTCGTGACACGAAATTTTGGAAGCATGTTGATCAAGAATGGAAGTCTCTATATTAAAGTGAATCAAAAAAAAAAAAAAAAAAGTGCAAAAAAAAAAAAAAAAAAAACACAGCAAAGTTATCGTATTGAATCTCACACAGTAAATGAGTTTTTTTAATTAAATGAAGGATAAACTACACCAACCTCCCTTGAGGTTTGGGAAATATAAAGTTATGTAAGGGTAAAGTTTTTTTCCAAACCTTAGGGGTGGTGAGTGTAATTTTCCCTTAAAATAGTGATATTGGTGGATGGATAGATCCATTCGGTAATTCATATCTGGATCCATTACATTTTTATGATAATTGGAAGTTAGTAATAAGTTTGCTATTTTCATTGGATTGTCAAATCTCATATTTACAAATAAAGTAGCACATGGCATATTTGGATATTTTTTACAAAATAAATGTGATTTTAAATCATATTTCCAATTTGATCATACTTCTCATTCAATCTCAAATAAGTTATATTTATTTATACATTGCTTTAAAATCTGTCACCACTGTCAACATACTCTTGAGACTGCAATGCCGAACTTTCCCGAGGAGATCATCGTTGAGGTACTCTTGAGGCTCCCTGTCAAATCTCTCTGCCAATTCAGGTGTGTTTCGAAACGATGGCTCTCTCTTATCTCCGACCATCATTTCATCAAAACCCACCTCAATCGCAGCACCAACGAACCCGAACAACTCATTCTCATTTCGAATTTTTCTGATTTCTATTCTGTGGATCTGAAATCATTCCAATTCCGTGATGATTTTGTGGCAGTCCACCTGAAATTCCCACCTGAGCAAAACCCTAATCGTGGCGTTGATATTTGGGGTTCATGTGATGGCTTGTTGTTGATGCTTGATATTTGTTTCTCTTGCATTTTGGTGAACCCATCTACTAGAGAATCTAGAAAATTGCCCAAATCATCTTTTTCTGAGTCTAAATTTCATTTGAATAGTTATGGGCTTGGTCATGACTCATCTAATGATGACTACAAAGTTGTGAGAATTTCTAATCATGACCAAGATGCTAATTGTGCTGATAACATGGTCAGTGTGTATACCCTAAGGACGAATTTGTGGAGAAGGATTGAGGGTTCTCCTTATGACCATACAGTTCATGGACCTTCACGAGGGATTCTTGTTAGAGGGGCTCTCCACTGGTTAGCTCGTAAAGGTGTGGGTTCGAATAAATCCACTATAATTGTTTCATTTGATTTAGCAGATGAAAATTTTCGAGATATGCCATCTCCAGATTCTGTTGACAACTTTATCCTAGTTGAAGAGCTTGGTGTTCTTGGAGGTTGCCTTTGTGTGCTTGTTCCTGGCTATGGGGTTTGTGATTATGTTTGGGTGATGAAGGAGTATGGCATGAGGGATTCTTGGATCAAATTTACAATCAATTGTAATAATTTTTGTAAACCATTGTGTTTATCAACGACTGGTGAAGTTTTGTTGGAGGTTAGTCAAAGAAAGTTGGTCCTCTTCAATCCACAAGAGAGAAAATCTAAGGAACTTGTGGTTCGAGGCAGTCCATATCTTTTTGAAGCAGGAACTTACATGGAGAGCCTTGTTTCACCCAATTTCAGCAATATTAACGATCATGAGGGATCAAGGTTGGTACTGGATAGGTAACATGGATTGGGTTAATTTAGTTTTTTCCCCATTCCATTTTAGTTCTGTCTGTCTATGTTATTGCATCACTTTCTCTTTTTCCTTAATCTTATTAGAATGGTGTGAGTTTAATTTGTCATGTTGTTTGGAGAAAACAAATGTCCTTGATGTTAGTATGGAGTTTCTCTTCGATGATCACAGACAGAGGTTTAAGGCCTTTCCAGTATTTCTTGGCAGTGGCAATGATTAGTTTGATTATATGGATGATTGAACTAAACCATTTTTTGTCATTCCATTGCACTTCTATCTGTCTATTTTGCTGCATAGTTGTTTCTTTTTCCATGATGGTATATAGAACAGTTTCAGTGTGAGTTCAATTTACTGTGCTTTATGGAGTTTGCTTGTATGTTTTGAATATAGAATTTTGGCTTAAAAGGGTTCAAGTGATTGGGTCAGATTCGCTAGGTAGGTGTGATTGTCTTTGATTCTCAGACAGGGAGAGACAACCATGTATACAAAATAAGGTAGAATTTACACAATTCATGGCAAAAGCCAAACTAAGTCTTGTGTACCAATTAAGTGGAGTCGGTTACATGTTTTGTTCTTTGATTTTGACCAACTGCAAATGAATCTGTGATCCACATGATTTAGTTGGTTAGATTTTGAAGGTAATTGAGGTTATCATCTTCTCTTTGTTGGTCTTTCTTTACATCTCATAATTTTCTTTCCAACACCATTATATATATAAAATATCATATATGGTTCAGTTGGTCAGGATATTGATGCTTTAAAGGTGTTTGAAAACAATAACAATGTGGCAAAGACACGTTACGTCGATGTTTTAGGAAAGTTTCCCTGAGGTAATTTTTTTTTAAAGAAAAAAGCTTTTTTTTTTTTTTTTGTTTCTTGAAATTTATTGCAAATTACAGAGGCACAAGGACTTGCATGATACTTTTAACATGTTACTCTAAGGTGAACAAATGGAGGGTCTCTCTTTCTTAGGTCCTTCAACTATATGAGCCTGTACTGGAGTGACCGATGGTCTTCAGTGAGTGCATTTGGCTTTCTCTGTTTCTTATTTTTCATAATATCTTAGCTCTTCTATTTTTGTCCCTCTGCTGCCTTGTTTATGGTTTGTATTTTTTATGCAAAGTTGTGAATATTTTTATGCATTGTTGAATAAAAATCATTCCTTACATTTTGCCATTATTTCGTTTGGTCTTTCCTTTATATTTCTGCTTATACATTTGTTGAAATGAAGTGATCATAGGGGTACATGCAAGCAAGCATAACTAACACATATATCTGCAACTTTACTTAAATCATTTTGAAAGCTCCTTTTCCATTTTGTTTCCTGAATGGAAGTGTTTCTTTTACTAAACAATATTCCTATTGGGGTTCCCCAAGCACGGCCTGAAGCATGTGATGATTCCAAGACTGAAGCTGATTCGTCGATGCCAAAGACATTTAGGTTGGATGAGTCATCCAATCCCCCAAGTCCTCGCTTCTCCCCGTTTGATTGAAGAATCAGCTCTATAAGGCCTTGGTAATGTTCATGGATCTTTACTGGAAGCAAGAATTTATCAAGATGCCTATGGATAGTTAAGGATATTCAGTGATAGTTAAGGAGGTGAAGTGTAGCTAACCCCCAAATTTTTAAGCAAAGCAAAGTGGCATAGGTGGGAGGGTAGTTAAGTGAGAATTGTTTATTGTATTTATTCGAGTTAGCCAGATTGGAAAGGGTGATGCACTTTTTTGGCCTCTTTTTTGCTTTTCATTTGCTATCAACGGAAGAGCAGCATATTATTACTTTTTTTTTTTTTTTAAAATTCATTTTTGGATGAGTAGCATTTGGTGGGACGTAAGGCTTGGTTTGGTTTGGTTTGGTTAGCATTTGGTTGTTATATATTGTTAGTGCTCTTGGTGGCTTTTCGTTTCAACTAGCGCTGATGTTTGGGCATTTCAATTGACATTTATATTCAAATTTTTTAGCTTTTCTTTTCTTTTCTTTTATTTTCTTTTCCTTTTCCCTTTCTTTTTGGTCCAGTGGAATTGGCTGAGTGCTGCTGCTGATTGTTCTTTTTCACGATGTTTCTTCTTGAGAATTTCTTCAGTTGGTTTTGCAGATCACATATAATCTGGACCCCTAGTGAGAATATATGCAGCGTATCGTATCTGTTGTTCACTCTCATTTTTCTTCCAAGCATATTACTATGTCACGTTTTAATTTGTTATATAGATTGGATGTGTGAAAATATTTAATTTCAAAAACTATTATTAGATGTACTGATGGATGCCTTTGTGTTCCAATTGTGTTATCTTTCTAGGGCAGATTCTGCGGCATGAGGCAGTGGTGCTTGGAGCAGAACAACTTCAGTTTCAGGAATCAACCGTTTAGTCGTTCAACGATGGCTTGTGGAGAAGAGAGAGAGAACGAAAGACATTAAAATAAACAAAAACTTTGTGGTTTGCAGCTGAATTTGGCATAAACCTATTTTATTATCTATTTTATTATCTTTGTTTGGAGTTTTGAACCTAATGTTGCTTTTCTTTGTGTGGATCCGTTAAATGTTCTGGATGTTTGATCACCCAATTTGGAAACTATTTATGTGGATGAAAACTTTATGCTATTTTCCTTTGACTTTGGTTCTCATTCATATATTTTTGGTTATATTTCATGCTGAATGCTATAGATTAAAGCAGAGACCAGTCATAGGAACTGGACTCAGATTGATCTGACTGCCTGCTTTTAGACTGTTTCAGACCTTCAATTACCTAATGCTTTGTTTGTTTTAGCCAAAACATTTCTTATGGAATTTTTTTTTTTTTTTCTCGGAAAACATGTTCTTATGCTTGGTTGTGGCTTTGAAATTAATGTGCTACCGGTTGTGGTGGCGGCGGTGATGGGCAATGGTGTTGATGGTGATAGTGGTGATAGTGGTGATGGTGTGGTAGCGGTGGTGGTGGTAGTGGTGATGATGGTAGGATGGTGGTAGTATAGTGCCTTTGGTAAGATTTCAATCCGGGAAACGTTTTTCATCTTTCAAAAGTAGAAAACATGTTTCCAAATGAGTGTTTTCCGCTATACCAGACAATGCAGAAAATATTTTTTGCCGAAACAAATAGAGAGAATGTCTGAGTTGGATTTCCTACACTTTTTCTTTGTTCATTTTTGTGTACTCCATGCCCGCATGATTTTTTTTCCTTCAATACATCAAACATTAATTGCGTTCCTAGTTTATTCATGTTTTCCCCATGAGATATTTCTTGAAGTTGAGGATTCAAATGATAGTAGCAGTTTTAGCAAGAGCTTCGTACACATATTCACAGAAGAATAAATTGATTGTCAGTGTATTTTGTTGGTTGAACTTTGGGATTGATTGATCAAATGGTGCAACTGTTTTCTTCTAGTGAATTTGTGCTTGTGATGATGGATCATTGTGAATAAGAACTAGTAGAAATTGCACGACTTTTTTTCATCTAACCATTCTTATTCAGTTTACAACTTCCTATCTTTGGTCATCAATTGCTTTCCTTCCACTGCTTGCAGTCTGTTTGGATGGGGTGATTTGGTAGGAAATTATTAGAAACGAAAAGAAAGAGATTTCTTTCTTATGTTTACTTTATAAATTTGATAAGAAATTACAAGAAAGGGGACTCTTAGTTTGTATATTTGATTTTCTTGCTAAAAGTGATAGATTTTGATAAAAAAAAAACAAACTAATTGGTTATATTCTTCTCTCACTTCTTATACTTTCTTATCCATCAAAATATGATATTGAGAAAATACAATTTTTTATTTTCTTTTCTCATTAAAATGAGAAATTATAATCAATTCCCTTTTCTTTTTTTTTTTACCGATTATACCAATTGGGTTTAGTGTTTCAGCATTTATTACTTTTTTTTTTTTGTCATTTTCTTTTGCAGTCAGAACACTTGTTACCAAAATTATTGAAAAAATTTGATAAACTACAAAGTATTTGAATAGAGGTTGAATTTGTTAAAATATATTAGAAAAATTAGGCTTGCCTCCAATTTAAGAATTATGAAAAATTGTGGCGAATTATATTTTGAAAAGTAAGGTATAATATAGATTCAATTATTGAACAATCTACCGTCAAAACAATCACAACTTAAATATTGTACTTTTTGAGTGTTTCAATTAGGTAGTGGTACTGGGTTATTGTTAGTGAGAGAAAATTCTTAACTTAAATTGTTCATATTATAAATTTTTTTTGGTGTTTTGGAAAGATGGTAAAAAATAAACTTTTTAACTTTTTTGGTTTTTTTTTTTTTTGACTTTTTGTGTAAAAAAATAAAGAGATGATGTAACTCAAAAAAATCGAAAAGCTAAAAAAAATTAAAATGCCAAGATTTCCAAATTGCCCCTTTATACGTGAAAAAATAATAAATCAATTAATACTCCTTATCAATTGCTAATGAGAGCATCTAAAATTCTTAAATTTTTTATTAAATTTAGATGTAATAAAAAAGTACTAAAAAACTATCTCTAATTTATTTATCAAATCAATGGATGGACATTTTTTTTTTTATCAAATTAAAATTTAGAAATATCTTTTTATTAAGGCCAAGTTTGGCATGATTGAAAAAAGACAAAAAGTCACGAAAAGCTAAAAAAAATTAAAATGCCAAGATTTCCAAATTGCCCCTTTATACGTGAAAAAATAATAAATCAATTAATACTCCTTATCAATTGCTAATGAGAGCATCTAAAATTCTTAAATTTTTTTATTAAATTTAGATGTAATAAAAAAGTACTAAAAAACTATCTCTAATTTATTTATCAAATCAATGGATAGACTTTTTTTTTTTATCAAATTAAAATTTAGAAATATCTTTTTATTAAATTTGATGAAAAGGAAAATTTAAAATAAGATGAGAATTTTTAAAAATATTTTAATAAAAAATTAGTGAAAAAAATCAGAATAATTCATATCAAGTTAATTATTTTTTATATTTAAATTTAAAATTAAATTAGATAAAATTTACTTAAAAACAAATAAAATAAAAAATAATGAAGGACATCACCATCCTTTAATTGGCGGTGAACTCTGAAGCTCGCGGCTGTAATGCGGAACCGTCCCGAAGTGATCATCGTCCTCTCTCAACTGTTTCGAAATCTTGCGATTTCTACTTCGTAGATCTCGATTTGTTCCAATTCCGCGAAGATTTCGTGGCAGTCCATCTGAAATAGGCAAGGCCAAGCACCATATCAAAGATTACTACTAGACAGGTAAACTGTTGAATGATTGAATTAAACCGTCTTTTTGTCATTCCTTTTTACTTCTATCTATGTTGGTGCGTGATTGTTCATTTATGCTTGATGTTAAGTAGAACAGAATGAGTTTAATTTTTTTCATGTTTTTATGGATTTTGTTTATATATTTTGAAGATAGCATTTTGGGTTAAATGGGTTCAAGTGGCTAGGGTCAAATTTGCAAGGTAGATGTGATTGTCTTCAATTCTCAACAAAATAAGGTAGAATTGACACAATTTAGGGCCAAACCAAGCTAAGTGTTGTGTTTGTGCCAATTAAGTGGAGTCGGCTACATGAACCCTTTTTTTAGATGGTGATTTTATTGCTCTTTTTTTGTCCAATTGTTAATGAATCTTTCAAGCACATGATGTAGTCTGTTTGGTAGATTTTGGATCTCTAAAACCCGATGTCATAGTTGGTTTGATTTTGAAGATGTTTGAAGATAATGTTTTCATTTTGTTCGTCTTTCTTTCCAACACCAAATAATATGTATACATATCCTATGTGGTTCGGTTTGTTTAGGATATGATGCCTTAAAGGCCTCTGAAAACAGCAACATTGTGGCAAAGACACCACATCAATATTTTTTTTTTGGAAAATTTTCTTGAAACGATGTGGTTTATCACAATAAATGGCAAATCAAATTTGCTACCCTCTTAAAAACATAGCAAAGTTATAACCTCAATGGGTTGGCCTAGTGGCAAGGCTTTCAGTTTTGGGGGTGTGCTCCCTCCAAGGTTCAAGGATCGAAATCTCTTGAGTGCTAGCAATTCCTTGGGGCTATTGGACTGGAGAAAAACCCTTGAATTAACCGTGGTGTACTTGCAGAAACTCCTTGCCGAGGGCTTGTGCATCCTTGGGGATTAGTTGGGCTTTACTCCGGACCCTCCGGTGCCAATCAAAAAAAAAAAAAAAAAAACACAACAAAGTTATCGTATTGAATCTCACACAATAAATGAGTTTTTTAATTAAATGAAGGGTAAACTGCACCAACCTCCCTTGAGGTTTGGGAAATATAAAGTTATGTAAGGGTAAAGTTTTTTTCCAAACCTTAGGGCTGATGAGTTTAATTTGCCCTTAAATAGTGATATTGGTGGATGCATAGATCCATTTAGTATTTCATATTTGGATCCATTACATTTTTATGATAATTGGAAGTTAGTAATAAGTTTGCTATTTTCATTGGATTGTCAAATCTCATATATACAAATAAAGTAGCATGTGGCATATTTGGATATTTTTTACACAATAAATGTGATTTTAAATCATATTTCCAATTTGATCATACTTTTCATTCAATCTCAAATAAGTTATATTTATTTACTAAACTCATGTTGTTTTGAAAGAGTTTACAATAAATTTTGAAATTTTGTTTTGAAAATACAACTTCAAAGCTGAAGTTGTGTTATGAATATACTACTCAAAAACATTTTGCATTTAAAAGGGCACGTGTAGGATTTTGTAGTTAGGGTGTATTCGTGGATCATATTTTAGGGCACAACTTCACATTCAACTCGTGACACGAAATTTTTGGAAGCATGTTAATCAAGAATGGAAGTCTCAATATTAAAGTTCAACTTCGGGCATATCAGATGTTGAAATCAACACTCATTCCCTTAGATTGTATTTGAATCATGGATTTGGAAAGGAAAAGGAAACATGTCAACCACCTTTTCTCTTTTTACTTTTTATTGTTTTATTTTTTCAAATCCATAATCCAAACACTACCTTAAAAAATGTATCAATTGCTTTTTGGCTTGCCAATGAATACATGTAAGCTTTTGATAACTTGAAAATTTATTTATACATTACTTTAAAATCTGTCACCACCGTCAACATACTCTTGAGACTGCGATGCCGAACTTTCCCGATGAGATCATTGTCAAGGTACTCTTTAGGTTCCCTGTCAAATCTCTCTGCCAATTCAGGTGTGTTTCAAAACGATGGCTCTCTCTTATCTCCGACCATCATTTCATCAAAACCCACCTCAATCGCAACACCAACAAACCCGAACAACTCATTCTCATTTCGAATTTTTCTGATTTCTATTATGTGGATCTGAAATCATTCCAATTCCGTGACGATTTTGTGGCAATCCACCTGAAATTCCCACCTGAGCAAAACCCTAATCGTTGTGTTGCTATTTGGGGTTCATGTAATGGCTTGTTGTTGATGCTTGATATTTGTTTCTCTTGCATTTTGGTGAACCCATCTACTAGACAATCTCGAAAATTGCCCAAATCATCTTTTTCTAAGTCTAAATTTCATTTGAATAGTTATGGGCTTGGTCATGACTCATCTAATGATGACTACAAAGTTGTGACAATTTCTAATCATGACCAAGATGCTAATTGTGCTGATAACATGGTCAGTGTGTATACCCTAAGGACGAATTTGTGGAGAAGGATTGAGGATTCTCCTTATGACCATACAGTTCATGGACCTTCACGAGGGATTCTTGTTAGAGGGGCTCTCCACTGGTTAGCTCGTAAAGGTGTGGGTTCGAATAAATCCACTGTAATTGTTTCATTTGATTTAGCAGATGAAAATTTTCGAGATATGCCATCTCCAGATTCTGTTGACAACTTTATCCTAGTTGAAGACCTTGGTGTTCTTGGAGGGTGCCTTTGTGTGCTTGTTCCTGGCTATGGTGTTGATAATGATGTTTGGGTGATGAAGGAGTATGGCATGAGGGATTCTTGGATCAAATTTACAATCAATTGTAATAATTTTTGTAAACCATTGTGTTTATCAACGACTGGTGAAGTTTTGTTGGAGGGTTGTCAAAAAAGAGTTGGTCCTCTTCAATCCACAAGAGAGAAAATCTGAGGAACTTGTGGTTCAAGGCAGTCCATATCTTTTTGAAGCAGGAACTTACATGGAGAGCCTTGTTTCACCCAATTTCAGTAATATTAATGATCATGAGGGATCAAGGTTGGTACTGGATAGGTAACATGGATTGGGTTAATTTAGTTTTTTCCCCATTCCATTTTAGTTCTGTCTGTCTATGTTATTGCATCACTTTCTCTTTTTCCTTAATCTTATTAGAATGGTGTGAGTTTAATTTGTCATGTTGTTTGGAGAAAACAAATGTCCTTGATGTTAGTATGGAGTTTCTCTTCGATGATCACAGACAGAGGTTTAAGGCCTTTCCAGTATTTCTTGGCAGTGGTGATGTTTAGTTTGATTATATGGATGATTGAACTAAACCATTTTTTGTCATTCCATTGCACTTCTATCTGTCTATTTTGCTGCATAGTTGTTTCTTTTTCCTTGATGGTATATAGAACAGTGTCAGTGTGAGTTCAATTTACTGTGTTTTATGGAGTTTGCTTGTATGTTTTGAATATAGAATTTTGGCTTAAATGGGTTCAAGTGATTGGGTCAGATTCGCTAGGTAGGTGTGATTGTCTTTGATTCTCAGACAGGGAGAGACAACCATATATACAAAATAAGGTAGAATTTACACAATTCATGGCAAAAGCCAAACTAAGTCTTGTGTACCAATTAAGTGGAGTCGGATACATGTTTTGTTCTTTGATTTTGACCAACTGCAAATGAATCTGTGATCCACATTATTTAGTTGGTTAGATTTTGAAGGTAATTGAGGTTATCATCTTCTCTTTGTTGGTCTTTCTTTACATCTCATAATTTTCTTTCCAACACTATTATATATATAAAATATCATATATGGTTCAGTTGGTCAGGATATGATGCTTTAAAGGTGTTTGAAAACAATAACAATGTGGCAAAGACACGTTACGTCAATATTTTAGGAAAGTTTCCCTGAGGTAATTTTTTTTTAAAAAAAAAAAGCATTTTTTTTTTTTGTTGCTTGAAATTTATTGCAAATTACAGAGGCACAAGGACTTGCTTGATACTTCTAACATGTTACTCTAAGGTGAACACATGGAGGGTCTCTCTTTCTTAGGTCCTTCAACTATATGAGCCTGTACTGAAGTGACCGATGGTCTTCAGTGAGTGCATTTGGCTCTCTTTGTTTCTTATTTTTCATAATATCTTAGCTCTTCTATTTGTCCCTCTGCTGCCTTGTTTATGTTTTGTATTTTTTATTCAAAGTTGTGAATATTTTTATGCATTATTGAATAAAAATCATTCCTTACATTTTGCCATTATTTCGTTTGCTCTTTCCTTTATATTTCTGCTTATACATTTGTTGAAATGAAGTGATCATAAGGGTACATGCAAGCAAGCATAACTAACACGTATATCTGCAACTTTACTTAAATCACTTTGAAAGCTCCTTTTCCATTTTGTTTCCTGAATGGAAGTGTTTCTTTTACTAAACAATATTCCTATTAGGGTTCCCCAAGTACGGCCTGAAGCATGTGATGATTCCAAGACTGAAGCTGATTCGTCGATGCCAAAGACATTTAGGTTGGATGAGTCATCCAATCCCCCGAGTCCTTGCTTCTCCCCGTTTGATTGAAGAATCAGCTCTATAAGGCCTTGATAATGTTCATGGATCTTTACTGGAAGTAAGAATTTATCAAGATGCCTATGGAACGGAAAATAAATGTCTTACTTGGATAGGCTTGACTGAAGTCTATTTATTCTCTGTTGATGTTACTCATGTTATTTTGTGGTGCCAGTACTGTGAACTTCTATAAACTTCTGTGTAATATAATATTTGTGTTATGCTTTGGTAGTGCTATTTCCTCCTCAGATTTAATTTGTGTCTTTTCTTTTTTGTTGCTTGAAATTTTTTTAGACTATGAAGAGTAAGAGGGAGCACTATTTTGTTTCTATCAATGCCAGTTCTGTGGTCTCACTATATTACGTGAGAGTTGACAAAGAAAGGGCAAAGATATACTAGTTTGTTACCAAGTCTTAGGCCAAGTTTGGGAAGTTGAAAATAATTCATCTTTTTATCTTTTTATCTTTTTTCTATCACATCACCTCTCTACTTTTCTGCACATCTTTTCATAAAAAGATAAAAAGTACACTTATTTAGGTCATCTCAAACAACCCCTTAGTATTACAAATGTTGCGTCTGTTTTGTTTAGTTTGTGTCATAGGTTGTTTTAATATGTTATCCTTTTAGTTTAGCAGGAAATAACTAAGGCTCTTTAGTTTTGGGATTAAATAGATGGGAGGGGATTAGGATGGAGGTGGAGTTATTTAGTGTTGTGTTTGTTTGTAGAGTAGGGGAGGGGATTAGGATGGAGGAGGATGCCTCTTTTCTTTCTAAAGCTATCTTTATCATATAATAATATCCTTTTATGATATGGAATGAAGTCTTTTTTGTTTGTCATGAAAAAAAAAACATGAGTAACTAGGATGTAATTTACTTCAGAACTAGATCAAATTAGTTTGTGAAAATTTACTCATAGATTGTGTTTGAATAACAATAATCTTGATGGGGAATGAGAAGTTAATTATCGATTCTCATAATTTTACCGTTTGGAGCAAATTAAAATAGAAAAGTGATTCCTTATTATTATTATTTTTTTATTTTCGCAAGAATCACATTTTCTAACTAAATAGGATTTTGTCCACACACACAAAAAAAAAAAGAAAAAAAAAGTATCCAATTCTCTCAGACTCCGTTTGGAAAGTGAGTTGGCTTTTTGACTTTTTTGACTATTTTAGCATGGGCTAAAAAATTTGGTTTGGAAAGAATTTTTTAACTTTTTGGCTTTTTTGATTTTTTTTTTTGTGAGAGAAGAGTGTAATGATTATGAGTTAGATGTGATATTTTGTTTTTTATGGATAGAATAGCATATTTTATTTTTTGTGACTAAAATAACCAAAAAAACCTAGAATAGCTCTTCCCAAACAAAATCTCAATTTTTCTTGAGAATTTCACATTTGAGAGGGATGTTAGTCATTGAAATGTAAAGATAGTTTTATATTATTTAATATATTTTTATTTTCTTATTGAGAATTTCTTATAAAACCAAACACTTAAGTAAGACTTTTTTTTATTTTTTTTTTGCACAAGATAACAGTTGAGTTATAACTTAGACTTACTCACTTTGCATTTAATGTTCTTTCTATAATCACTTGGATAATTATTCAAGATTTACGCTTGAATAAGAATGAGAAACAAATTTTATTATGAGTAAAGCATAGCCATAGTAAAAATAAAAAAAAATGTTATAATTAAGGGGTGCAAATTTTTTTATTTAAAAAAAAAGTTTAGAAGGTTTTTTTAAGTAATAATTTTTTAATGGTTGATAGATGTGATTAGCCCTAATTTTAAATGCATATAAAACCACACAGAGCAATAAAAGTTTGGGTCATTCTATTTACACACCACCTTTTCTCTCAAAGCAAATCATTAATTAATTTTTTTTATTACAATTTTAACCTTAAGTGAAATGACTATAGAGGACAAGTTATGATACACACCATTTGTGTATTTACCATAAAGGACAAAAATGAATATAATATAAATCATCAATTTCAAACTTGTTCCATACATATCTTCTTTGTCAAGAATACAAAAACCCTAAAACCAAAACCAAAAACTCTTCAACAAATAATCAAAAATATAATATTATTGGAGATTTTGAATGGATTCAATGAATGATGCATCTGGCAACTTTGATTCGCAACAATGGAGCAAGGAAGAGGTTATTTTTTTGTTGTTTTTGTTTTCGTTTTCGTTACTTGCTGAGTGGTAAATAGTTGGTACAGTTCGGGTAACCAGAGGTGGACATTATATCATTGTTCAACATACTACGGTCGAACAAAATACCTTTGTTCAACATATTACGATCGAACAAAATGCCTTTGTTCAATATACTACGGTCGAACAAAATGCCTTTGTTCAACATACTACAATCGAACTTTATTCGTATATTTGGTTAACAAAAATTGAGTAATTTCATTTAATTCGACTCTGTATTGCCGAACATTTACAATTATTATTTTTTTATTTTTTTATTTTTCAGAACAGAGCATCTGTGGAATGCAGTAATGTTGAATCTGGGGGTCTTGTTGACTACACGAGTCAATTTATTACTAATGAGGTAGTCTCATGTCAAAAATTAGTATTTTTTTTTCTTTTTCTTTTCGAATGTTAAATGACTTTGTTGAATTTGACTTGTAGGTTTTCAAGAGCAACGAAGAATTACTTGGTTTGGTTCTTCCTTCTAAGTCAAATTTGATTGCCTTTTTATGTGCGTTTGATTTTCTTGTGAGGTCAGTTCTGGTTTGACTTTTCTGAAATGGTTTCCAAGCTGTTGTTGTAGCCAGTGGGGCACTTTGCTAGTGTCTAAGTAGCATAGACATGGACATGTGACACGACACTAACACACTTACATACACGTCAATTTTCAAAAAAATGCAAGCCACGATACACTTGAGACACGTTAAAAAATTATATTTTTATAAATTTATTATATGTGGAAGATATGAATAGTTTATTCAAAGATAGTGAGAAAACAACATAACACTAATTAAAATTAAAAAGGCATATATTCCATAACTTAAAATCAAATTATCATTCACGTAATAACTACAATGTAAAGAATGCAAAAAAAAAAAAAAATGTTGAATATAGAAATACACACGATGTATCATGTTGTAAATGTTTCAAAACATATTTAGATTGAATAAGTTGAATTCCAAAGAATACAAAATATTGTTATTATGAAGAGATTCATCACATAAGTCGTATTCGGAGGGTTCAAAAAATATCGCCGAAGTGTCCAATATTATGAATTTACATCTTTAATTAAGACACATTGAAAAACATCCTCATCTAGTCTGATCTTTTTTCAAGTTTTCTTTCCCCTTCCATTTTTACCCTTCCAGGCAGACTCAATGCATGAGCCTCCTGCTAAAGCAAGCTCTGGGTAAGGTAAGACGTACACAACCTCCTTCCCATTTCTAGTGAAGTTGTTTCTATGACTCAAACCAGTTATGAACGTTGCGATTTACTTGATACTTCTATTTGTGGGTATTGGATTTTTGGTCATAATCCATGTCTGTATAGTTGGGAGAGCCTTCAGAAGAGGGTTTGCGTAAACCTTTAAAACTTGTCTTTGAGAACTCACACAAGTGTATGGAGAATAAAATTGACTTGAAAGTGCAGGGGATTAGCACTTACTAGTTAAATTTGCGACTTAGGCGCACTTGATATCTCCATGACATCCCTTTTATGATCTAGTGAATATGACTTAGTCGTGAGTCATTATCCAGTTGTGAATGCAAGCACAGCAACTGAGAGTAGTGGCAGATTTGGAAGCACAAGCATGTCTGAAGACGACCTCAAAGGCTTCCAAGCTTCGATTTCAAAGCAAGAGAGAAAGGAAGTAGTCCAGTGGACTGTGCTATTTGTTTGGACAATTTCAAGGTGGGTGAGTAGTGTAGATTGTTGCCTCTGTGCAAGCACAGTTTTCATGCCCGGTGTGTGGATTTGTGGCTTGTGAAAACACCCATTTGTCCACTCTGTAGGACCAGTACTGATTCATGGAAAGGTGGCTCAATTTCTGGGGATGAAAGTGGGCATTTCAGTGGGATTGAATTGAGGGAGAGCCAAACTACGGAGTGGGAGTCGAGGGAGAGCCAAAGAGTAGAAATTGACAATTTTTTGGCTTTAGAAATTGACCATTTGAGTGAGTCTGGAATTGAGGCAACAGAGAGCCAAGCTGTGAGTCAAGTTGGATTTATAACACTCCTTCACTACTTGCAAAATCTTGTTTCTCACCGTCGTGGTTGTAAAGATGTTTGGGTGATGAAAGAGTATGGTGTGAGGGATTCTTGGACCAGTAGGGAAAACATTAGTCTCAAATAATAAAAAATAAATAAATAAAAGTTTATTCTTCAACAGTGTACAAGAAAATGGCTACGAACACTAGCCAGTCACTCACACCCAAATACAAAAAGACAATCATCGAAACAGTCATACTCATACACATTGAGTTATTCAAGCAGAATTTGACGTGATTCACGTGATAATTGTACCACAAAAGGATAAAAATAAAAATCTTTTGAGTTCTTCAATTCACTCGTTGTTGACATAAACTAAAAGCATTCCTCTGCTACTCAATCAACACATCACACCATGCTTCACTAACTGATTCAAAAGGCACTAAATATCAGATCCTGTAAGTACCACTCCACATTAAAGAAAAAAATGTATACTTGGAGACAAAAACTACACAAAGACGCTAATTAAGCAAAAGTTTCCTTGACCATAACACTTAAGTTCACACTAAAAACTAAGACCCAAAACAATCTCATATCAAACTCATAAACTTGACACCCAGATCTTAAAATCCCCAATCCAACATAAATTGAAAAAACATAACACATATTAAGCAACTGATACAACAGACACCTGTACGTAATTATGTCAAAACTGATGCAGCAAAGCCAACTTGTATATAATGTTTTTATCAGTGCCTGTTAGGGGCCACGCATCTTCACCTAACTTCTAACCAACACTTATACACAATGTTTATAAACATGACAAATCAAGCAGGAAAAAAAAACATGTTCGACAATATCTGTCCGAACATAATGTACATGTTCGGCAATCTACAACCGAACATGTTCAACAGTCAACACCCATACAAAATTGTGTTGTCCGAATATCAACTGCCGAACGAATTTAGGCTCCGAACAACCAGTGTCGAACGATTCACTCAAATACGATTCACTCAAATACAAACTTCATGCCAATGGAGATAAGTGTATAAAACCCTAAAATAAATAATA